TCTTAAGTGTCTCGTCAGTCAAAAGGTTTTTTTCTCATTTAGCTTTAATTCTTCATAATAAGATCTTATTAGTACCCTTGAGACTATTATAAATTTAAAAATATCATCATCATCATCATCTTTATAGCCCATCACAAATCCACTGCTGAAGCCATTGGTCGTAGCTCTCCTGTGTTTCATTTCCTTTGATTCCCTCTAACGCCACCGGCAGAACCATATTAGGAATCACATTTAGGATTAGCGTAGTGTATTCCCTTACACCGCCACTGCACGGTAATGGTGATCATCATAATCCTTCCAACAGCCCTTCACAACTCTGCCCAGGTCAAGCCCATTGCTGAACATAGACCTACCCAGAGGAATGGCACAAAGCTCGGTCCTGAGCCACCTGCTCCATCGACTATCTGCATGTCTTACCAGGTCGTCACTCCATCTAATGGGGAGACGAGAAATTTTATTTCCCATTGGTTGTCGATTCTTTGCGCTATATGGCCGGTCCATTGTCAGTTCAGCTTACTAATCCGTTGGGCTATGTCGGTTACTCTGATTCTACTGCCGATATCCTAATTTAAAAAGTATAACCACTCAACCGTCCGCCCCGCGCGAGTGATTCTCGCCTGACCTGTCCGCGAATTAAATGTCACTATTTATTACGACCGCGCGAGACAGTCTTAAAACAAGGATTACTACTGAAACCTACTATAGCTACATTCAATTAAAAAATATTCTCAAAAGACACAAAGAATTCAAAATTGTATTTTGTTAACAGAAAATTAGTCTAATTAAAAATAAAGCCTGAAAATAAAGCTTAAAATTGGGAATATCAAAAAAGAATCGTATTTATTTTTTATTTCGAGTTTTACAAGAAAAGTGTAATACTTACTGGAGACAATTACATCTTATATACTCAATATACATAAGTATATAATGTTTACCCAATATAAATTTGAATAAGTAAATAAATGAAAAAAATAGGTTTTAATAATTTCTAGACACATCTCAACAGATATTTCGTTTATAAATTGCTATCAACGTGTTAATAGTAAATCATTATTTTATATTTTGCATTCATTTAACACAAAAAACTGATTAGAATACCTTTTAAACAACATATAATCAATAAACGATGATCACGTATAGTGAATAAAATTTAGAGCTAAGTTATTATATGTAAACGTTTTGGAATTGTCGTAATGATACATATTTACTAAAGAAAAAATATCTTCACAATTAGTATGAAATAACGTATAAAAACAGAAAAGTTTTTTTTAGTTAGTTAGAATTTCTCACACGTTAACATTCCACAAACAAAAATGGCGACATTTAATTTTAACTTGTTTTTCTAAATATTTTGTTACTATTATACAGATAAAGTTCACTTTCACAGACGACAAATTTCATATATTACCCTCTATAATTTTTTACTGTATTAATAACAGCTATCTTTTGCGCTGTACGCGTTTAAACCGAAAGATGTCGTTTGGTGCCTAGACAGGTGAGGCAATAATGGTTTTTGGGGACTGTAGTCACCGTGGACGGTTGAATGGTTATTACGCAAAGAAACCCCAAGCATAGCCCTCTCCATGGCTCGCTGAACGACCTTGAGCTTCCTCATACGGATAACAGTGAAGGACCATGAAACAAAAATATGTAATAGTTAATGAAAATTTCTGAGAATACCACAATGTGTGTATACTGAGAAACTCAAAGAATACCAGCGTAAAATATCAGTTTAACGCTGCTGTGTTTAGTATGGTGAGTGTGGAGAACCGGAGACCCTTTTACTGGAAACGAGACCTTTCATCTTAGTCCTCACGGGTGACAAAGCAACTGCATTTTGATCCGTAATTGAGAATAGCTACCAATTACCATCAGGTGGACTGTGTGCTCATGTATCATCCCTAGGCTATAAAAAAGAACTAAGATTGACTCACTGGTACTGCGTAGATACGAGTATATTGCATCTTTTTACGTATTTTATCGCATCTACCACGGGGAGTGCTCTGAAGAATTGTTCGGACTAATTCCAGTCGCTCAATTTCACCATCGCACATCGCAACAAAACTCGCGATAACCTCAATACCATCTGGACGATTGGTGGTCCACCACTGTGCGATTTAGAATATGTTTTCTTCCTCGCACAACTACCTTGTGGCCATTACCACCAGCGATTTTTCCGGACCGATACGACTTAGAGACCGTCAAGAAAAGAGCCGACTCATTTTTAAAAGGCCGGCAACGCATCTGCAATTCTCCTGGTGTTGCAGTTGTTCTTGGGCGGCGGTAGTCACTTACATCAGGTGAGTCGCATGCTCGTTTGCCCCCTCTCCTATAAAAAAAATACATTATAGCCTGTAATTATACTGGCTCTCTATACATTTCAGACTAGATCGGAACACAGCAGTGCTGACACTACTATTACGCGGTAGGCGGTAGAAACCGTTAAAAAGGTGGTACCTTCCCAGACACAACGAGGTCCAGTTTTATTTTTATGTTTTCTCTTATATGTTTAAGGAAATCATATCACAGCTAAGGCAATGAGCATTTCACAGTAAGCATGTGTCTTCTATAAGGGTTCTGGAGTAAGGTTATCAGCCTCTCAAGCCTAGTGTATTTTCGCGGCTTTCATACTTCTTCACGGTGTTTACCTGCACCGCAAAGCACGTAGTAAAACAGCAATTAACAATTTAATTGGTGCCGGCGGTGTAATTTACGGTAAGCGATTAACACCGGATTTACTGCATCCCTTACCTTCTCCCGCCTTCAATTCACATCTTTTACACACACTAAGAATTATTTATGTATAGCGGAGGTGTTTTACATACATTTATTGCACACGAACAAATACCCAAACCTTCACTAATTATTTGAAATCCATGGTCTTAAGGTACACAAGAGATATGCCGTGTTGTCACGATCAAACCACTTACACGTAAACAAAACCCGTTTATTCGCTCAATTTAAACCCCAATAGAGATTGTGCCAACCTTAATACATCAGCTGGAGACATTTCATTCAAAATGTGTGCTTAAAACAAACAGTGCCATCTGTCGGTCGTCAGGAATTCGATACCGTAACATTTGTAACATTCCGTAACATTGTACATTTTGGTGTACGTGATTACCATTACGATGGCTCAGCTCTGCACTGCTGGTGAGATCGCCCGCCTAGCGTTATGGGTATAGACAAATATTCCAAGTCATACTTGCCAACTGGCGCATTATTGATATTGCTGTCACTTATTTTTCCGATTTGGCAAGGTTATTACATCTATATAAAATAATAATACACTTTTATTGATAAACCTACCAATATTATCAATAATAGTATTATATAAGATAATAGCTTATAGTTAATAGACCACAGCAACTAAACCGTGTGTGGTTTCTGCTGTAGGGCTAAAAAAAAATTCAATTTGTTTTTTTATACAGTAAAACTCCCTTGATACGATCACGTTTAATACGATTTCCCACATAATACGCCTTTTCATATCAGTTCGTGCAACTTGGCGCATGTTTTCATACATTTTTAACTCGCTTAATACGATCGTCATCCCGTCTAATACGCCATCTGTGCAACACCTGAGCCGAGCCGAGTAGCGCGAATAATTCTCTTCATTGATAACTGCCCCGCTAACCCTTAAGGTTTTGGGCTAAAGAACATCAAGCTTGTTTTCTTACTTCCGAATGCGACAAGCAAGTTGCAACCGATGGATCAGATTATAAAAGTCTTTAAAAAACGGCTACAGAACACTATTGATACATCCATATTTGTAGATTGATACATTCTTAAAGTAATGGGTAAAGAAAGCAGGTTTCCAAAATAACATAGCTAACGTCGTGTTGGAAAAAGAACCCGCGATACTGCAGGGTTTTCCCGGATATTCTTCCATTGATGACAATGTTGCACACCCTACGAAACCCGTTCAATCGAAGATCTTATTGAAGATGTGGATAACACCCAAAAATAGGCCCTAAGTGCTGACGATGAAGATGAAGGAGAGTCAATTCCGATTTTATCAAACGCAGAGGCATTATTAGCAGTAAACGATTTAATCTATGCTATATGCTATTTAGGCGCTATGTATCTTCTTTCGGGGACAGTGAAGACGCATTGCGAAAGTTAAGTTATATTGAAAGCCTTATCCATTAGTAATGCATCAAAATCCTTGGTCAAACCAAAATAAATGATTACTTAAAGTAATGCCATTATGAATAATAACTACATTACTTTAAGTAATCATTTACTATGACGTAACATATTTAAATACATATACATATGTATAATATTTTTTAATAAATCTACCTTTCTAACAAATTTATAAATATACCTATAATTGAGTAACTACACTTACACTTTCCCTATCCCGCATCATACGCTTTCCCGCTTAAGTCGCGATTTTGGCTGGGTCCCTTCAAAATCGTCTTAAGCGAGTTTTACTGTATTTTGAATAAATTAAAAAAAAAAACAATTGCCGCATGTATGAAAGACCATCACTTGGGAACGGCTGGACCGATTTTGATGAAATTTTGGTGTATTTGAGTGGGTCTCTGGATGATTTAGATTTAGAATTGGACCCATTAGGTGACGCTATTGTCGAGATCTGGAGATCACCCGTACGAAGCCGGGACACATCGCTAATATGCAATAAAGTTTTGGCAGAGTTGTTAAAATAAAACAATTTCGACATTGATATTATTTACGTAGCACGTATTATATTTTCAAATGACACTTATGTACAAATACAATACAATTAGATCGTTCGAATATTCTGTAATAATATATTATGTTTTATTGTAAAATAAATTATTTATTCATAACATAACCATATCACAAAAAGCATACCTCTCGATATATTTTAATTATACAATTACTCAACATAAAAGACTGTTAACAAAAACAATTAAAACTGTTTTACCAAGGAAAACAATATGTTTTCGATTATTGCAACCCCGATTTTTGACTAGTATTTTTGACGACTCACTTTTTTGTTATGAGTTTTAATCATCTTTGTCTGCCCATATGCTGTCGCCATTTACGACAGTGGTGCCTCTGATATAATTCTGAATCACTGGTAACTTGTACAGATAAACGGAAAGGATTGAGCCAGTGCACGCTCCCACCCAGTATACAACAGCGTGCTCGAGGAGTGAGTGACCTTCGCATCCAGCTTTCAACGAGGTAGCCAACACTGGGTTGAAGTAACCACCGGAATAATCAAATGCTGAAAGGAAATATGAAATAGATTTGAGTTGATTCGAATAAAATGAAAAACATTATTAAATAAAATATTATTTTTAAAGTTGTAGATAGAGTCACGCTGCAGCTATATTATGATTCCAACACGAATGGGTCAGCGCAACCTGATGAGACCTGACAAAGACTACGCCCTCACAGAGTATCAGCGTAATCTAGCAGCGTAATGCTGCTGTGTTTCGTATAGTGACCGTAGAAAATAAAGAGCGTAGAGGTCCTCAGGCGGTAGGTGTGTATCTGCTAGAGCATCCACTTACCATCAGGCGGACTGCGTGGTCATTTGTCACCCCTATTATATTTAAAAAAAAAACAAACAAGTTATTATACATTTTAATTTAATCCGTAATGTTGTGATGACAATGTAAGGACAATAAGCCTATCTCGTTCTCTGGGCATCATAAGTTGCTACTATGAGAAATTACTAGAAATATACATTCATCAGCGACGGAGAAGGTGCAATCGTCTGGTATTGGGATGGAATTTTCTGTCTTATCATCATCATCATCATCAACAGCCCGTAAAGTTCACTGCTGCACATGGGCCTCTCTCGTTGTAGATTTTTGTCTACGTGTTTTACTCCTAAAATGCACTTACAATATTGTATTTTTGTATTATTGAATATGTTTAAGCCTAGTCGCGTCCCTCACGCAATATCGTCCCGTGGGATGTCACAAGTGAAGTGGCCACTCCAGGAAATGCCAAAATATTAATAACATATGACATACAAGCATTCTTCTACATATATTACTACATAGCATACATCTACTTCATCGCAATTTCTGCTTAATTTACGATCGATTTATCGATAAATGATTCGAACGAATCGATTATCGAAGAATTTAAGCTATCTTCACATTCCGAGAACTTGCATCAAAACCACACGTTTTTGATAATAGTGTAGTTGAGAAAGGTGATAAAGAAAGCATGTGATTCTAACTCCTTCGACATGTTTAACTAATTACTTCTTTGTTATTATAGTAAGCATGTTTCCTTGGTAACGGAAAATCGTAGGAAAGAAATCATGAAATAATTAAATGAAACATGCATTGATATAACGTTAGATATGACAACTATATTAGTGAACACTAAATCGTTTCACTACATTAATGTACCTTTTCCTAAATGTATTTTGCAAAAGATGGATACGCTTAGGTCCGAATCGGCACTATTGTCCTGATAGCGGTAGACGTATACCGCGTGCCTAGCGAGGACCCCTGGAACACGAATGCGTGAGTCAGAACTCAGTATGTGGGTGCGTTAGAATGAGTGAAAAAACAAATAGCACAATCATACAATCTCAGGCATTACAAATAAATAGAAGGTATTATTACCAGCAACAACAAGTGAAGTTCCAATAAAAGCGTCAATAGCTGTCGCGAATCGTGGACTCAGATCACCGAGAGATTTGGATGCAAGCCGATAAAAGCATGTAGCTACACCTTCTACAATCGCCCCGTATATAACTGGAACCTGAAATCATAAACCAAAATCATAATAATTGATTGAATATATTAGTACTATAGTTGTAGTACGAATGGGTCGTCTCGTCCTGAGAAGGACCATGGATACCCTGATTTCAAAAGAATACGTTGCCAAGATTACGATCGTCAATTTTCTATATATTCTATTACAAAATGGCAAAGGTGAAAGGAAATATCAGGCTAATTTTACAAATTAATGTGTGCCTAGCATTATAATTTAAAAATAAATTAGTTCCAATAAGTTTAAAAATAAGAAGAATAAACTGCCTCAACGTTAATTTTCGTGGTACCTTTATGACACGCCAACGCCATTCCAAAATTACTACCACAAGAAGACATCAAAATGCGGTCAGGTCAAACTAAATTCCAAGTTTTGTATTACGAAAGTACACAACTCACTTGATATTAATGCTTGTTAATCTACAATGAAAATAATAAATTAAGAAAATACCAGTTAGTCAGTGACATCTTACCGTAAGCGCATAGTAAATGGTTGTAACATACATGTGCCCTAACGGACTCTAGAACTTGCATCTATAGAAATGCAGCCTTGTCTGGAAAGGACGAAATCTATTTAGCACCATTTGTCTAGATCGCATCAATTTGAAATGCCGATCCATTTTTTTAGTGGTGCAAAAACTAACACAATAAAATTTTAATGGTGCGGCAAACAAAACGTTAAAATTATTATATGGTAACAATTAACAAAGAGAATTTTTATTACTTCGTCTGTTACTTTGTCTGACAGTTAATTATTCTGTTAAATGCTCCCATGCATCTACATGGTGTGATTATGTATTACTAATATATACTATATATTATACAAGCAAAACGAAATATTTATAATGCTGATTTTGAAGTCTACGCGAACGTAGAAAAAATATCAGAATCTATTTTATGATGCCAATCAATATTAAATGGGACCAATGATATGAAGCAAATATCGTATATAAGACTATGAAATCATCATTATTTTGTTAAAACTAAATTACTTTAATTATGAGTTGACTCCAAGACAATTTATCTTTCTTATGGATACATCGGAAGACACGTCCAATATAAAAAAAATTGTAGATGTTTAGACATGTGATATTGATACAATTCTAAACAACTTATTTATTCACGTGTCCCTGTAGCATATTACGATTATACGCCAGATATCAATCATCTAGGTCCAATAGTCTTTGGAAATTCAAACACATTCTTCGACAAACTGACATTGAAACAGTCTCCAAAGTGACTCTAAAAGTGATCGAATTTTGCTAAATTTGGCACGGAATAACATTTAATGGTGTTCCTAAATTGAAGACCACGCGGGTAAAAAGCTAGTTCAATAATATATACGTAATTTACCTGCAAATCCGCCTTGCAGTCTTCAATTGCCTTGTCTTTGTGCGTTTCTGATATTTCCAAAGCCCAGTACATCTGGACGTATTTGAAGACGAGTAGACCACCAGTCAACTCCGCCCAAGTCTTCAGCAATGATTTTCGAATATCGCCTTTGCCTGATAAATTTACAATTTGTAAAATGAGGAAAAATGTGTAAACTATATACTTCTTTTTTTACAGAATAAGGGTGACAAACGGTAACACAATCCACCGTAAGTGAATGCTGTAGCCGAAAGATATCTACATTTTCCTGACGACGTCTTTCGCCGTTGTCACCGTTGTCAACGAGGTATTTCATCTTAGTCCTCAGGACTAAGATGGAATACCTCGTTCCCAGTAACAGGGATCTTCGGTTTACTACACTCTCCATACAAAACACAGCAGTATTAAGCTGCTATTTTACGCTGGCATTCTGTGAGAGCGTGGCCCTTTCCCGGTAGAGCCGACCCATTCGTGCTACAACCATATTATAGATGCAGTTCGGCTCTGCCACGTAAACTATTTCCACGGATACATAACAATTACGTAATAAAGTGTATCATACGTAACCTTACTTCTCTTCATGACTCGTCCCTGATGAAATGTTATAATAAAAATAGGTATCTGTTATTTAAAAAACATAAACAGACTTCGATTATCATAAGCGCTGATAAAAATTAAAATTGACGCTGGAAAAATACTCTATCGATAAATTAAAAAAAAAAACAACTAAATCGGCATATATCCCATTAAAAAAGAACATAAGGTCAAATTGATAGCCTTTGTCTTTCAGTCAAGTCCAAGGCAGTTAGTAGAGATAACTATTCACTTAGATCAATATTTAGAAGACAAAAGAGTACATTTTATTTTAAAAAAATCTTCTTACTCCCTTGTATTGTTTACATTAAATATCAAGAACCTCGCTGATAGATGGATTTCTACGGTGATATGACCTGATGACCTACGTAACAACTACCCCAAATAAAAATTCTGAACACTACTCCGACAATATTCAGTTTAATTTAATATGACTTGTTACGTAACAAGTGGTAAATTAAAAATGTTCAATACTCAATACTCAATATTTATTTGCATTCCATAATGTAAAAATTAATAAATTAAATAATCACAATATGGACCCTGTTGGGTATAGCAAATTAGAAAATCAGAACAGAGGAGGACGCAAAGATGTTTTGTTATTCATTATTATTATTATTATATCATTCATTATTAGTAGTCCATAATTATTCATATTAATCATTCATTTATTTATAGTATTGCATTTGTCATTGAGGTATTCATATAAATTATAATAACATTTATTGATTAGAAACACTTTTAATTGTCTTATAAAAATATTATCATTTGTTTCGTTTTTTAATGAGTTTGGTAGTTTATTATAGACAGTTATGGACATTACGTAAGGGCCTGATGAGAAGAGCTTTATTTTAGAGGGTGGTAGCAATAATTTATTTTCATGTCTAAAACTATAAGCCGTATTTTTAGTTTCTCTTTTTACGTATTAATTATGCTATTTTCGCACAAATTTGCATAATTCGAATATATAAATACAACTTAAGGTAAGAAGTTTAAGTTTCTTAAAATGAGGACGACAATTTTAAGTATTTTTTATGTTAGACATAATGCGAATTAGCTTTTTCTGTAAGACGAAGATGGTGGGTGCATCTGTACTGTTGCCCCACAGGATAATACCATACCTTAGCCACGCCTGTGCATAGGCATTATAAGTAAAGTAGAGGTCAGTTGTCTTTTTTATTTCACTTAGTGCATATTTATACAAAACTAGACAATTTGTTACGAATTTTCTGAATTTGAGATTTCCAGTTAATGTTGTAATGTTGTACAACAGACTTCAATATAAATTAAATGAATTCATAAACATAAATAATATAAATGAGATTATCGTCAATGTAGTCAAAGTCAATTAAATACGCGTTATTAACGATAACTCAAAAAGTAGTGATCAAATCTTTTGATCAAATGTATATGGGACTACATGAGAAGCACCACCAGAAGCGTTTCAACTAAAAAAAAGTTCTGAAGTAACACATAAAAAAACAATCTAATTGAGAACCTCTTCCTTTTTTAAGGCGGTTATTAAAATAAAAACTATATTATTATAAATAATACAACGAAAGAGCAAGGCCGGCTTCGTCGTCTCGAGATGGTAGTGGACGGGGTTTAGGTTAGAGTGAAGTCCCTTGATGTTGCAGAAATTCACGGATAGCGTGGCAGGGGTCGCCTTGGTATTGTTGCTCAGTTCGCCCCGAGCAGTTTTGTTTTTGAGCGGAATTTTGCTCCCCCCCAGAATAAGCGGGGCAGCTTGAGCACCCACGCTCAGGATTGGAATAACATGGTCGTGGATGCTCAGCGAGGGATTCTCCAGGGGTACTGGTACCCTCCTGGGGTAGTCTGTCGTGTAATTCCGCTACCATGTTGATGGGGGGGGGGGGATTGGGCCTCCGGCCACCTGCACTCACCAGACGAAACGCAGAAGCAGAGCCTCTACTTCACGCCGGTATTCTGTGAGGTCGTGGTACCAACCCGGCTCGAGCCGGCCCATACGTGCAACAGCAAAAACTGCTGCGTGGCTCTACCACCGTTAAACCGTGTACTGGTATTTGTACAGTAGGTCTACGATGGCTATCGAGATAGATATGAGAGTACAGATCGTGGTTTGAGAAATTCCTTGGGAGAGAACTTTGTTTAACAGTGGCTTTGTGAAAGGCTGTATTGATGATAATGGTGAATACAACTTTATAAGTCCACACAGAAGCCTTTCCACGATTGCATCTGATGACATGCATCACTTAGGAGATTCAGGCATCTTCACTACGAAGGGAAAGTACAATATGTGATCGATTACAATATATAAGGAAAACCTTGCCTGATCCGAAAGAGGCATATAGGTACCGCAATATCATTTCCAAAAACTTCAAACTTTTCAAATTTTTTATCTAAATTTCTCAAAGACAAGGTCGCTGACGGCAATTTCAAACATGTGGCAGTATTGTTTCCCTATGGCTGCATTTGCCGCATGTATTTTCATGTAATTTTAAGCGTTTAATTAAATTTTATTATATTTAACCATATTTTTCTGTAATAACTCTTTTTCTGTTCCTTTATCTGTTTATAAGAGTATATTACTGGACATGTCCCAAGCCATAATCCCTTATAATCTCTCACACACATTAAATATGACACATATTTGTTCACATATTAAATATGACATCTATCAAATACTCATAGTCACCGTTTACACCCATGAGATAACATTCGGTGACAATTTTCCCTAAGCCACCAACATATGGTAATGAACAGAAAAAGGCCCAGTACAATGACTCACCTTCAATGACATCCTCTATGTGAGTGTAAGGGCAAGCAGTTGCATCCCCCCAATTCAAGGACCACCAGATCGTGAGAGCGAACAAGTAAATGGCATAAGTAGCTACACCAAAATTGTCGGCAACTGAAAGAAAAAAAAATAGTGTTATATAACTAAAATAATATTTTAGGACCGATAGTAGCAGTGGAAGAATATCCACTACACCATATCGACAACTGGCAAAATTCCACGTAATAATCAGTTGAAAAAATAAAAAATCATGTTGTTATTTCATTTAGTATGGGCGAGGCCTATGTTCAGACTTTCATAGGCTGTAATGAATGGATGTATAGAAGATAATCTACCAGGAGCACATGACGCACTGAGAAATTACTAAATCAGCACTAACATTACAACTACGGCAAATATCCCTCTATGAGGCAATCTATGGGGGAGGCCTATGTTCAGCAGTGGACTTTGATAGGCTGTAATGGATGGATGTATAGAAGATAATCTACCAGAACCACATGACGCACTGAGAGGTGAAATTATTAAATCAACAGTAACTTTACAACTACGGCAAATATCCCTCTATGAGGTAATCTACGGGGGAGGGCTATGTTCAACAGTGGACTTTGATAGGCAGTAATGGATGGATGGATAGAAGTAAAATAAATTGCACACTTTCAAAATGTGGTCACAATTTGTATGCACACTTGTTATGTATAAGAAAAATTTATCAAAAACTAGAAATTAATCTATCCCACTGGACAAAGTAGTGTTCTTTTATACCACCACCATACGGCAACAATGTATAAATATATATCTATACAAATAAGTAAAATTGAAGTTTCTGTTTGCAAAATTACAGCTTTTAACTAAATACACATGAAAGTATATACGGTACTTATAACAAAAATACAATTTTTAAAGTTTTTGTCTGTCTGTCTCTCTGTGTGTTTGTTCCGGCTAATCTCTGAAACAGCTGGACCGATTTTGATGGGATTTTCACTGGCAGATAGCTGATGTCACAAGAAGTAACTTAGGCTACTTTTATTTTAGAAAAAAACACGCGGGCGAAGTCGCGGGGAACAGCTAGTATTGTAATAAAGAAACTAAGTACGTAACCATCAAAATGTCACTAATATGGTTCAAAACCACGAAGACAATAATGCAGGTGGCTTAGATCTGATCAGTTATAATCTAGGCTTCCATTGATAGCGTCAATAATAACATTACATTGTTGCTTGTCCCGGAAGCCTGGTAACTATAATTAAGTTTTGAGTCTCTTGGGGAGAATTAAGTTTTGAGTCTGTAAGGGATGATAACCACGACGATGCGCTACGATGAATATTGAAGGTTATTTGTATAGAATTAGGGTGACAAACGATCACACAGTCCACCTGATGGTAAGTGGATGCTGTCGTCCATAGACATGTACATTTATCCTTAACTACGAATTAAAATGCAGATGCGTTGTTACCCATGAAGACTAAGATGAAATGCCGCATATTCAGGAAAAAGGGTCTCCGAATCTCTACACTCATCATACGAAACACAGCAGCATAAAGTTGCTTATTTACGCTGGTATTCTGTGAGAGCCTGATCCTACCCCGATTGAGCCGACCCATTCGTGCTACAACCGATTTATAGCTGCAGCATGGCTCTACCATGTATAAAATGTGTTTTAATGTTTAAAATGCGTCTGACATTTGCTCGTTATATTGCTGTAGTACCATCTACCAAAACCCTGTCATACTGTCAGTGGATAAAATCCTTTGACAAAACACTTCTAATGTTAACAGAATGAAAGCCAAACTCGACATAATACTTAGATGTAGTTAGTTAATGGTTCAATGGATATCAAGAGCAAACAATTTTAAGAGACAGTTCTGCTCATAAGTACGAGACGGTTTGTAATTTCAAATACTCACTGATAATCAGTTCAAAACAACACCCGCATAGTTCCGCTGCTGCAATTGCCTCTTCAAAGAGAAGTTTCACAAAGGGCTCCTTAACTAATTTCTGAACAGCTCTTCGCGCGCAGTGGGCCAACAATGACGTCAGGAGAATGAATAAAGTTGATACTACTAATGGAGCAAACGTCACTTTGTTGATCTGAAAATAAAAAAGAAACGAGAAAAGTTTAAAAACTTGAATCTCAAGTTCTGAATATACAAAGAAATTTGAAACTAAGGGCGCGTTCCCACGACACACACCCGCTACGCGCACGCCACGCGCGTCAGCTCCCGCGTCTAACTCGCTTTGAAATTTGTTGCATATAATTTGAGTCTTATGAGAAATCAATAAATCTGAAATTGTATAAAAGCACGTGTGCGGGGTGAGCGCGGGATCAGCGCGGAGCGGGAACGAGGTAGGCGCGTGGCGGGCACGTGACGTGGGCGAGGCGTGTGCGGTTCAACGTCGATAAATGCAATTTCAGATTTATTGATTTGTCATAAGACTCAAACTATATGTAACAAATTTCAAAGCAAGTTAGCCGCGGGTGTTGACGCGCGTGGCGTGCGCGTAGCGGGTGCGTGTCGTCGGAACGCGCCATTAATCTAGTCAGATGTTATCAGCCTTATAAAAGTATACCAATGCATCAGCAGCCTAATCCCCAATGGCTCGATGTGAGAAATACAAAAGTCGTTGCTTCAAATCGGCCATTCGACTACTGTCGTGGAATATTCCTAGCACAACCATTGACGTCATTAGCTCGTGACGATCTACTGCTGAGCATAGTCATCTACCCGTTGTAGGATGCATTGTCTATAATCACTTTTCTTGGTAGGTAGATTGGTAATTGCAGGACTCACACTTTCGTAGTAATAATAGTACTATAGTACTATTCGGGTTATTTATATAGTTTTTTCATCTAGTTGGGCTGTACAAATAAATAAATTAAAATGATAAATATACATAAATATCAATAACATACATAAATAAAAACCCAACCAGATGGGAAACCCTCAGCAGGGGAGACCAAACGACCGAGTGTTAGGAGGAAAGGGAAAGAAACCGCAGTACGATGCGGGTGGTATCGAGGAGCACTGGCTTTAATTTTTAAGCCCGAAGCGGTCCGTCACGGATTCCCAGTCGCCTCAGATGACCCGAGAGGCTGACCGGGATTAACCCGTCCGCAGAAACGACCACAGGAATAATTTCGGCCGGCAGACCACCTTACATGTCGGTCACCTCGCGAGCCAGGTCTAGATATTTGGCTTGCACGAAGTTATCGTCATAAGGAATGATAATGTTGACCAAAAATATCCTTTACTGTGCCCGGTCCATCAGCACGATTTCAGGCTTATTCGCAAGAATTTACTACCACTATTGTTATATGCAAAATAAATATTATATTTTTAATATTTAAGTTATTATATTAATTATATAATTGGCAAAGCAGTGGTATAATTTGCCGGCGTCTGTCTTTCCGTCGCAATACAATCTTGGCGTCTTCAAGACAAGAGTAAATAGGCTTTTATTATGCTAAAACAGTGTGATTTACGACCTAGAGCTTCATCACTTACCACCAGGCGGAATTGTGATCATGCACTAGCTTATAATAAGTTAAAACAATACATATGTTTTGCAGAGGGCTTTTGACTGTAATGAATAAATGAATGAAATACTAAATCCCTTTATTTGTAGGTATATAGGAGTAGCTTAGTAAATTCATCTCACACTAGAATGTGTCACCTCTCCGCTCTATCACAACTTGTCAAGTGTAGTTTCAGTGGAACCGGAAATGTTTACACGGCACTGCGGTTACCAGTCGGAAGATATCAAAGGTGAGAACGTACGGTTATAAATTTCATCAGTAGTTAGTTTACTATTTAAACGTGTTAGAGCCATTCTGCAACTATATCATGGCTGTAGCACGTGCCGTCTAAGTAAGTTGTAAGAAAAACCACCACCTTATAAAATTATGCCGTGGGTATCGTCAGAGTCGAACTGGACCTTCTTCCCAGAAAATCTAGTGGCATCAACTGGGTGACCTATCTAGTTACCCCAATCTAATTTACTGCGATCACCAATTCGTCAAGCTTGCCAATTCTCGACAAAATCTCAACTTAGAAGAGACCTATGTACAGTGGTGTATTTAACGAATAATGACGTTATGGGGATAAATGAAGTCATAACGAAGCGAACGGATGAAATACTTAAGTAAAGAAGACAATTTCTTTTTGTGTGGACAATGGGCTACCGCAAATTGTGGCGTAACTTAATGAAATACGTGTCGATTTTTTTAGTTTTACTGTATCTAACGGGAATACTGAGAAATTAACAATTAAAATGTGAATATCAAAATAACCTAAAAATAAACTAAAAGCGATTGTCTAGTTTTCACCGGTATTATAAGTTAAAATAGTACACTGGGCAATAATTAATAGTATAAAATAAAGTTGTAGGTACATTCAGCATTTACAAGTACTTTAAGATTGATGAAAAATCCTTTTTGTAATTCGATCTTCGTAACACGCATTTTTTTCCCATTACATCAGTCAGAACATGATCAAAACAACTGTTTTTCTTCAGATTTTCTTTTTGTGTGGACAATGGGCTACCGCAAATTGTGGCGTAACTTAATGAAATACGTGTCGATTTTTTAGTTTTACTGTATCTAACGGGAATACTGAGAAATTAACAATTAAAATGTGAATATCAAAATAACCTAAAAATAAACTAAAAGCGATTGTCTAGTTTTCACCGGTATTATAAGTTAAAATAGTACACTGGGCAATAATTAATAGTATAAAATAAAGTTGTAGGTACATTCAGCATTTACAAGTACTTTAAGATTGATGAAAAATCCTTTTTGTAATTCGATCTTCGTAACACGCATTTTTTTCCCATTACATCAGTCAGAACATGATCAAAACAACTGTTTTTCTTCAGATTTCATGATTCCTGTTAGATTTTCATAAAATCTTTAAGCCGTTTATAATAAATTGGTATCTTTTTATGTTTAATATAATTAATATACATTAAAATTTCTAATTGGTCCAAAAAATGATTGTCTGCTTTCCCAGAAGTCCGTTTGGGTAGGTATTACCTCCTTAACGATTTCTCCAGCCAATAACAGTGCAGCGGTGTGCGTACCGGTCTGGTATAGCGAGCAAGTATAATTACACGCTTTGAGGCCATTCCATTCCATCTTACATCAGTCCTCAGAAGTTTTTTTTTATAGGAGAGGGGGCAAACGAGCATGCGGCTCACCTGATGGTAAGTGACTATCGCCGCCCTTGAACAACTGCAACACCAGGGGAACCACGGGAATCGCAGATGTGTTGTGAACCTTTTAAAAAGGAGTAGGCTCTTTTCTTGAAGGTCTTTAAGTCGTATCGGTCCGGAAAAATCGCTGGTGGTAATCGATTCCACAAGGAAGTAGACCTCCAATCATCCAGATAGTGTGGATTGTGGTGAAGTGACCACTCATCAATGGCCTTCTTATTTTGAAGTTGACTGCAGGTGCCCATAGATTGTAGTAATACCATCTGGTGGATTGTGAGTCCGGTTGTCACAAAATTTTTATTAAAAAAAAATAGTTTGTCAATTGATTTATCGTATTTTGAACTCCGACTCCCACTTGTGTTAATTACGTTATACATTTATCATTACTTTAGAGATGTTGGGGGTTATCACTTTGCTTCCTCGAAATAATACACGCAAGGTTCCTTTGATATTATCTTTTTTATAAAACAAGTGAGAAACAAGCGGCTCATTTGATATGACGTGACCATTGCTCTAATGTTAATGCGAAATTATTTTATTTTTTTCATTATTAAATATTTTCTTTAAGGGAAGTATTAATTACGTTCCTGGTTTTGTTTTTAGTATTACCATAATAAAAATAATAAACCTAAATTATCACACAGTCCTACTCCCCGCGGTATGGTGGCTAGAGCGCTGGCTACGTTTCTTTGCTGAATGGCTATAGTTAGCCTTTGAGCGAGATATAAACAAACCCTTTTATTACCAGTGGCGACGAGAAGTTGCAGATACAATTCCTTTAGAAACTCCACCAATGCTACATTGCATATAGTCGCCGCGCCTGTAAAACCTAACCAATTTTAAGACATTTATAGATCTTTTCTAAATGTAAAAACTGAACAGTAGCTTTTATTACTACTGACAATTTGTTTTTTTTTTAATGTCGGGCTGGTAAGGATGCAGGAAGTCGATGGATGCGGGTGGCTAGGATCGTGCTTCGTGTCGTTCATTTGTGGAGGCCTATATCCAGCAGTGGACCAGTGACATGCTGTAATGATGATGATGTATGGATTTCAAAAATGTCGCCGTGGATAAAAAACCAATTTCTGAAAAATTACACCAACATAGCTATATGCCTTCATTCTACGCGCCTTTTGAGAACTCAGGAGTTTTATATACCTTTCTTTTAAAGCATTTCTAAACTGTTACTGATCCTATCAATAATGGGAAATCATATTTGTTTGCATGTTCGTCCTTCAGTCACGCTATGATCGGCTGTATAAATTTTAATAAAATCGTACATAGATTTTTTTTAAATTAGTACTAAATTTTAATTTACACGCTGCGAATTAGACGGACTAGACTTAGTCTTTTTGTCTATGGTGGCTTTGTTAGTGATCGAATTATGTACGAATTGAACGATTGAAGTCTTATTCGTGTTTCACACTATTAAACTTTCTAAAAACGAATTTTCACATGTAACAATAAAAAAATGTGTTTTAAGAGATTTCAACCCGTATGTTTCCACGTAGTTTCAACAACCGCAATGTACAGTCGTAGATCAATAGCTTCTGCATACGTTGTGCGATTCCAGCTTGTAATAGCTATGGCCTTTCACATTGCTTTGCATTTCAATTCGGTTTAGATTTAACGCGCTACATCCCGTTTTAATTGACGTATTTAATATTCACACAGCTTGTTCCAATGCAGATGTAATATCAGAAATTCACTGATTACAAATTATTGCTCTAAAATATCATAATTTCTACATTAAAATATCTTGTAATAAAGTTTTAGTTTAAATAAAATGAATAATTTAAATTTTTATGGCGTATTACTTAGGCAAAATATGTTTACTATAATTATGCATGAGTTTGTTTATGTTTGTTTTAACGTAATGG